TGGCAAATACTTGTAAAAAAATTAAACTCCATAAATTCTGCATACAGCTTGTTGCTGAGTGCTGGACACATCCTTGGCACAACCATAAATTAAATTCTTTCCCCAGAGTGATAGTTTCAAGCAGTGCAATATGGACATTCTGGCAAGGTTCTCTGTAATCTACTGAAATAAAAACCCTGGTCTGTAGGTTTCTGCTCCATATTTGAGACAACTTAGAATGCTAAAATCACTTAACTGAACCAAGAATAAATATTTAAGGAACACAAAAGATAATACAATGTACCCTTATATGAGTGCGCCAGGCTAATCTATTTTATTCACACAGGGTGTGATATTGGTATATGACATAACTAATCGATGGTCATTTGATGGTATTGATCGATGGATAAAGGAGATAGATGAGGTAAGCTTCATCTTAGAATTATGCATATGATACCATGTAAAATGAATGAATTTTAAGTCAAGCTACCCACAATTACATTTCTTGGCAGGGTTTTTTGGCCCTAAAAAAGCAGGATGGATTTGATTGGCGTCCAGAAATCTCTATGGATGTTATTCATTAATCCCAGTGTGATTTTACTTGTGGTCTCTGGAATGATGAGACTAATTATGACTGACCAGGTGCTTGCTGCTAGGCATCTGTTGCTCCCACTTCATCAACAGATGCCATTCAAGTGGGGATGGAATATTAGTGGACGGAAACTGCAAAATCGAACTGAAAATGTATATAACCCATTTAAAGGATTTTGCCATAGGAAAGTGCTCTGTTTTCTGCCCCGTTGTATCTGTACAGTCTTTTGACAGTTGTTGTGGTTGCAAATGGGTGGTTATTATCTGGAGAAGAGGGTCACTGGCCTGTTCTGGTATGTTTTTGAGACACTTTGAAGTTAAAAGTGGATTGCATCTAGCTTGACTTAGATGCCATTGACATCTCTGGTTCAGGTTCTGCTTCATTGGTCAGTTTTTATAACGCCTCTATTGTTTAATTATCATTTGACATCTTGGGCTGGAGTGAAGAGAAGAAATGTTTGTGGTTCAGGTGTAACTGAATTTTGAATTGAATTGAATGATTGATTTCCAAGGCATGTGCAAAGGAAGGGTTCTCCCTGGTTCATTAATGAACAACAAACTGTGGTTTGTTACATGCGAATCTTGTCTTAGTGTAGATGGGTGGTGTAGTGTAGTGTAGATTATCCCCCCTTTTTTGTTATTGAACTATGGTTTCCTGGGTATAAACAAGTTAAATGACTACAGAGATAGGGGCAAATTAAGAGAGAATACTTTTCATTGAAGGACTAGCCTAGAAACTTGGAACCTAATTTGTTGCTCCCTTTTGTTCAGCATGCTCCTGGTATACCTAAAATCCTTGTTGGCAACCGCCTGCACTTAGCCTTCAAACGGCAGGTATCTACTGAGCAAGCACAAGCCTATGCTGAAAGACTAGGCATGACTTTCTTTGAAGTAAGCCCACTCTGTAACTTCAACATCACTGAGTCTTTTACAGAACTTGCAAGGATAGTGTTAATGAGACATGGAATGGACCGGCTGTGGAGGCCAAACAAAGGTAAAACAATACAAATGTTTTGATTTATCTCTATGCATTTATCCTGGATTTTGTCCGAATTAAAGTTTTAGTTTCAGCTAATGAAAAATATCTTGGAAATTCTTTTTTTTAAATTAACCTGAACAAGTCTTTTACTAAGATAGAATACCGACTATGCTGGATTCCTCTACCGCACTGTTTTGGAAAGGTGCCAGCCTCTGGAATGCATGCTTTGTCAACTGATAAAACTCCCCCTGCCCTTCCCTTGTCCACTTTAGCCAGAGTTTAACCTTGCATCAGTATGAGCATTCAGCCAGGATTCTTAACCAAGGTTTGCAAACTTACTTCAGACCCTTGCGTTAAATTCTGTTTGAGACGTGAACTTGTTTAAGAGGTTCCTAAAGCTCACCCTGGTTTTCAAGGAGCCAGTGTTAAAATTTTCAGTAGTTTTTTGTGTGAGGGCCAATTTGTGGTATAATGATTTAGAGTACTAGACTGGGACCAGGAAGACCCTGATTCAGATTTCCACCTTCCATGAAATTCTTTTATTTTGTTACATTTCTAGTGCTTATATTCTGTATTATGCCTTTGACTTCAATAAAATCTTTAGCTTGGAGAAACGACGACTGAGGGGTGACATGATTGAGGTTTATAAGATTATGCATGGGATAGAGCAGGTAGAGAAAGAAGTACTTTTCTCTCTTTCTCACAATACAAGAACTCGTGGGCACTCCATGAAATTGCTGAGCAGTCGGGTTAGAACAGATAAAAGGAAGTACTTCTTCACCCAGAGAGTGATTAACACATGGAATTCACTGCCACAGGAGGGGTGTGTGGCTACAAGCATGGACAGCTTCAAGAGGCAATTAGAAAAACATATGGAGCAGAGGTCCATCAGTGGCTATTAGCCACAAGGTATAGATAGGAACTCACAGTTTGGGGTTCTGGCCCCACTGATGGCACCTAGTATTTTTGTGACAGAGCGTTGGGCTGGATGGGCCATTGGCCTGATCCAACATTGGCTTCTCTTATGTTTTTGAAAATTAAAAAAAAAATCAGCAGTGACCTTGGATCAGTCTGTCTGTCTTATCCTAACTTAACCCACAGTGTTGCAGAGAAGATAAAATGGAGGATGGGAGAGCCATGTGTGTCAGTGTCAGCTCCTTGGAGGAAGGCAGGAGGAAAATGTACTAAATAAATTTGTGCTGCATCCAAATGGCATAACTCAGGGCACGTATATCTATCTCCTCTTCTCTGAGATGGAAGGAATGATATTTGCTAACCCTATATATTTTTACCAAGGGCCTGCAGGCCATTCAGAAATATAGGAGGTAGCAGAGAATGGGAGCTGGAAAGGATATATGCTGCCCAATTATGATGTAATATTTATGGGAAACTGTGAATACTTTAATGAGCTCTTTGAGACAAAAAAAGGGTCTTCAGAAATGTTGAGCCTTTATAATTTCTACTGATATCTCATCTCCTTGAGAGAAGCAAATTTAAAAAATTATGGAGGGATTTTTATAGATCCAGCATTCCAGAGTTTCAGTTTGACACTACCATATTTTCTCTGGTTAAACTTCCCTAAAACTTACAAGACAGCGTCTTTATACTTTTAAGCCAGGATAATAGTTATGGGATGGCTTGGCGGTATGGTTGGATAGGAATTTCAGCAGAAGTAAAAGTGACTGGGTGAAGGGTTATTTTCAAAAGTACAGCAGGCTCATGAAAGCATACTCTACGATCATGTGGCTATCCAAAACCATGTTTTGTCTAAACTAATGCTTGTTTTTTGTTGTTTTAAAGTTCTGACTTTGCAAGATCTTTGTTGCCGTGCCATAGTTTCATGCACCCCTGTGCACCTTGTTGACAAACTTCCACTCCCTGTTGCCTTAAGAAGCCATCTCAAATCATTCTCTATGGCCAATGGTCTGAATGCTAGGATGATGCATGGTCGCTCCTACTCCCTCACAGCCAGCAACAACAAAAGGAACAGTCTGAAGAAAGCCAAAATCATCCGTCCACCCCAGAGCCCTCTGAAACACTGCACCAGAAACAGCTGTAAAATCTCATAAACCTGGCCATTGAAGAGTTTTGGCTGGAGCCTTTAACACAAGGACTCTCCTTGAATAGTTGGATCTGTTGTATGCATCACACTATCAAAACTGAACAAAGGAAAACATCATATTGAAGTTGTTTGTTTTTAATAATGCTGCTTCCAGATGTATGACGCAATCAGTGCAAACGAAGGGATGTGAAACTTTTCTTTTGAATTTATATATAGATGTGTGTGTGTGTGTGTTTTTGATGTGCATGAAGACTTTGTGTTTTATAAAGGGAGTAATTTATGATGGTATTGAGATTTCAATGACATTAAATTGCAGAAGTGACTCATTTTTAATTGCTAAATTAAACAGTTAACTCACAAAACTTTATTTGCAGTTACAGAAGAATGAGTGTCAGTCTGTAGAGTCAGACAGAATTTTATCCACAATGTATTGTATACATTGTAAGATATAAGTAGTGAATTAGTTCTAGTGATGTTGCAGTAGAGCATCTAATTCTGGTTTTGTACAGTTTCCTCTGTGACCCTGAAGCACTACTTTGAGCTACCAGTGTGTATATGCAATATGCACAAGATTTTGTCCCATTAATGTAAAAAAAACCTGATAGTTTTTGCAATGTTTAATACTTCTAGGGATTTATCTGTGGTTTATATGCTTATTTTTCTGGTAAATCTAAATTTTTGTATTTGATATTTTAGTGATACAGTGAGAAAAAGCCAAAGACATCAAATGAATTTGCTGCAGTAGTGAGAAGAATGTGATTTGAAAGTTTGCTTTAGCAGGAAAGGACACTATTATTTAAAAAATAAATAAAAACACTATAAATCATCTCTTTAGTTGAAATATTTGTCTTCCTACTCTCTAGCTTTTAAATATTTTAAAAATCCCAAACTAGCTTTTACTAAAATCTTGTTAATTAACGGGATTGATGTAGTGAGTGGTGAGTGTCAGACCAGGATAAATAATAAATAATTTTAATCCATCTTGACTCTCAGCAAGAAAGGCGGACTATACACAAAGTAAATAAGATGCCACAAAACTATGATCAGTAGTAAATGCCACCTTTTGCCCTTATAAAATAAGCATGGCAACAGCCCTAAACACTAAGACCTATTGATCTTAATAGGCCTTACTTTTGAGTAAGCATGCTTAGCAGGTTCAGATGGGTAGCTGTGTTCGCCTGAAGTATCATAACAAAGTTTGAGTCCAGTAGCACCCTTAAGACCAACAAAGTTTTATTCAAGGTATAAGCTTTTATGTGTGTGCACACTTCTTCAGATAGCAGGGTGGGTTTGGGCTGTCTGTGCAGTTCAACATATGTTTCTCCTATTTTGTTTGATGTGTGTGCGCACACAGCTGGGCAGCAGGGAAAGAATGCTGGAGAAAATGAGGGGCAGGATTGTGCAACCCAGAAGAGATGTAATTGCGTGGGCTGACACTCTAGAGTTCTTGGTGATTGTTTGCGTGTGTTGCCTGATATGATGACGTCACTTCTGGATCATGCCAGAAGTAACATAATGGACTTGATGAAACACTGAAAAGGCAAGTCCCCTCCCCCAAATGATCTCCTGTTGGTTGCCAACCCTACCTGATGTAAGAAGAAGAAAAACAGGACACCAACTTTATCAATAAAAAGTTGATGCTTGGGAGCACAGAAATTGATTGGTACAAGGCATGCAGAAACCAAGGGAGAAAAAACACTGAACCTAACAATGAACTCCAAAACCAAGCAAAGGTTAGTGAAAAGGAGGGCCAATATTAAAACCTTTCCATAAAAGATAAAAAGAGGTACATGTATTTATTAATAATAACAAATTTTAAAACATATATAGAGGCCCATTTACAACCAATGTATATAAAATATAACAATATCAAGGCTTTACAAAGTTGATCTTACGCATTTCGGCCAAATAGGCCTCCCTCAGAGGTCATACATATGTGGCAAGATGGTTAATAATTATTTTCACATAAACACAATCAGAAATATATACAAAGTATAGATTCAATGAGGACCATAAAGTAAATTGCTGTAAAAAATAAAAGATTAAACACACATATTTTACAAAAAATTAAAATTGAAATCTATATAGCCAATCTATAAATATAGACCATAAACTTACTTCAAAAGTAAAATCACCAGGCACAAGGTAAATATGCACATAAGACCTTTAAAGTGCAATCACTAGCCCAGTGATTATAAACCTAAGGAGAAAAAATGAAAATCAGTATATCAAACAATTTAAGGCCCAAATATAAAGAATACTACTACTAATAATAATACTAATAAACTAGTTACTTGTGGTCCAAAAATTTCCTTCTTTGATTGTGTTGCCACAGCATTCATAAGTAAAAAGCAATGTGGGTAAACTTTAAAAAGTTGGAGCTTTATAATTAAACTGGTCATGTGATTGCAACTTTCACATAGAGTATACCATTAAGGGATAAAGAAACAGTACAGATTTAAACATAATAAAGCCGTCCAAAGATTATATAGAGATACATGCTATATTAACAAGATTATATTGCACACCAGTCAATATGCTCATTCAGGCCGTATGGAGTTGCAGTCTTAAGAGTATGTATCCAAAATAGTTCTCTTTTTTTCAGTTGTTGGATCATCTGCTGGTGGCTTCTGGGCCGAACATACTCGAGTGCAAAAAAGGAAAAATTCTTATCATTATGCCCTGCCATCATGAAATGCTCCGTACAAGGCATAACATCTGTAAGTTGGAGAATTTTATGCTGGAGCTGCTATTTAGGAAGTTTGTGTGTAGCCATTGATGGAAACAACTGTCTTCATAGCCTGCTTGTGGGCTTCTTGGCAGCACCAGGTAGGCCACTGTGAATAACAGGATACTAGACTAGCAGAGCTCCAGCACAGTTGCAGAGCATGGAGCCACTGGGTCTCTTTCCACATTCCTTTCTCTTTGACCATCTCCTTTGGCTGCTGTGGGGCAAAGCTGAAGTCTTGTGTGATAGAAAAAGAGGAGATGAGGAAAAGAGAATTAGCAATGGGCCAGTAGAGGAACACAGAGAGAGTAGCATTAGCAGCACCATCCCTAGTTCATAGCTGCTTTTCAAAAAAGACAAAACTCTCCGCGTGCAGAGGAGAAGTAGTGTTAGTCTTAAAATGCCACTTATCTGACCTCTTATTTTATTACTATAACTAATAAATATATTGTGACAAATTTTGTTGTGGGATGCAGACTCTCTAAATTGAGAATTCGCAGTGATACTAAATGGTACAGTAAACAGTTGTACTCAAGGTTGGAGGGGGGGAGAAAGATACTGAGTGGGATCGCTGTACTGAAGGGATGGGGTTTGGTAACGGAATCAGCTGAGCTGAGCTTAGTGTAATTCAAAATGGTGAAGGCAATGCCCTGAGGGCACTAAGGTTCTTTGACTTGTGTGGCTAGCCAATACACCACACAGTAAGACAGACAATTCCAGGCAGTAAAGGGAAGGAAAAAAGTTTTATTCAAACGAGGGACATCATACAGCCCAAAATTCACCTTGACGGGCAGCCAAGCCACTCCTTGGGTGGTGAGTTTGCTTTGGGGATGGGGGGGAGGGCGCTCAGAGCGTGCTCAAGTCACCCGCCGCTGCCCTAAGCCAGCGTGGAATCTTTCCTCACCGGCTGGGGGCAGCGGTGGGTGGGTGGTGGGCTTGCTTTAGGGATGTGGGAGGGCGCTCGGAGCATGCTCGAGTCACCCGCTGCTGACCCCAGCCAACGAGGAAAGTTTAACTAGAAATGAAAAAGTCACACACTTGGTTATTTCTATCTCTGTGGAGCTGGCTGTGAGTTGGGTTGTCTGGCTGGGATTTGCAGCAGCGCTGTAAGTGCGGCTCTTAAAATGAGCCAGAACACCTTTCTGGCCTTATTTATTATTTATTTATGTATTTATTTATTTGAATTTCTATCCCACCCTCCCCGAAGGCTCAGGGCGGCCTTGATAGCGAGGTGTTTGTGTGTGTGTGTGTGTTCACGATGAACAGCTGGTTGTGCATAAGTGTCTGTGCTCCATCAGGATGGTACAGCTTGTGGCCCACCAAGAATAATGCATCCCCATCATCCATCTGTGGAGGTCTGTCAGGTGCTTTTAACGCCACCCCTCTTGCTGTTTTTTGCAGTCCTGAGTCAGTAGTCCCGGTGCCCGGCACTGATGGGGTGCCACAAATGGTTGGTGGGGTTAAGCTTGCCAAGTCTTTGTAGCCTCAGAGACTGAGATTTGGAGGGTGGGGTGGATAACCTGGGGAGAGGAGAGATGGTGCAAGGCAGATTGTGAGAGAACCTGGTGGAGAAGGGATAAAGCACTGTCAGAGCTGGAGGAGGGAGGGGAACAGCCTGGCTGTGTCTGGGGGCTCTGGGCATGAGTCTGGTCGGCATGATAGTGAAGCCAAAAGCAGTTTCAGAAGTCAGCCGTGTTGTTCTGCAGTGGAACATCAAGATTTGAGACACACTAAAAGCACACACGCTCATTGTGCCAAGCAAATAGGCTTGTCAAAAAAGCCAGAAAAGGGGTCACGGTGTGGAGATTCATGCCAACAAACAAAAAACCACTGTGATAAAATTAACAATGACACATTTAATAATTCTGTGAGCATCAATTTGTAAAGCTATTAATCTGACAATAGTTAGAGAATTCTGACATAAGCAAAGCAAAGTCCAACATAATCATATCCTCGATGAGCACACTGGTTTTTGCACTCATTTCACTAATCTTCCTCATGAGTAGTCTTATAAAGTTGGAAGGTGTCAACCTGTAGGTTCAGCTTAGTTTCTTTTTTAAACAATATAGCTTCTTATTTTCTTCTTTGTCAAATTATCCTGTAAAAAGCATAGTTATAAGGAGTGGAAAAAGACATGAAGCTGAACGGAAAGCAAATGAGTGATTAACACATGGAATTCACTGCTACAGGAGGTCATGGTGGCTACAAGCATGGGCGGCTTCAAGAGGGAATTGGATAGGCCGAGGTTCCGATATGGCGCGGCGAGCAGGTGCTTCTCGGGACACTCCTGCGGCGGCTGGTCCTGTTTTGTTCTTTTGGGGTCCGCCGAACGATCGGGTGGGCTCCGCTTGACTTCCTGGAGGGAGGTCAGGGGGCAGGGGTCTTTTTTTGGCCACTACCGCACTTGGCAAATGCAGGGGTGTCGCCGTTATACCCCGAAACAGGAACGATCGACGGGAAAAAACATGGCTGCCATGTTTTTTCTAGCTGCGACCAGCCATTTTTAAAGACCAACTTCTTATAACAACTAATATAAAAGGGAAGCAGAGAAGAAATTAAAGGAAAAAATTGAGATATATACCCCCAACTGAA